TACTGGTGTCCAGACAAGTTCACCCCATATGTTTCCCAGGTTCACAAAAAGGTCTGCTTTTTTGTGTCTGCCTTCGATAATGGTCTGCGTTTTCCCCTACATCCCTTCATCAAGAGTGTTCTGCAACATTTCAACGTCTGCCCTGCCCAATTTTCTCCTAACTTCTAGGGTGTGCTAGTGGGTCTCCTCGTCTTCTTTAAGAGTCATAAGCTTGGGGTTCCTACTGTTTCTTTATTGATGGAGCTTTTCAATGTTAAGCACACTTCCACTGAGGGTTTTTTATACATTTCCAAATGGACAAAGGCCAAACAGATTATCTCCGATCTCCCAAGCTCCCACAAAGGTTGGAAGAAACTTTTCTTCTTCGTGGGAAGCGAACAGTGGGAGTACAATCCGGTAGATAAGGCAGATACTCTCCCAATCCCCAGAGCTTAGTCTGCCCTTGATAAATTGGGTAAGTCCTTGCCCGAGCTGACTTAAGTTGGATTTGGTGATCCTCACTGATTCTGCTCTTCCCATCATCGTTTCGCAGGTATTCGCCCTGAGCTCAGTGCTGAGGACGAGCGGGTGCTGCTGAGACCGGAGAAGTGTGACTCAGAAAAGTATTTCGAGCTCATCAAGCCTTAAGTTCTGGTCGAGCAGGGGTTCAGCCTTCCAGAGGTCACGATAGAGGCCCCGATCCCATTTTCCATCATTAGAGTTGAGGAAGTAGCAGGTGATGTTTCCTCCGTCAAATTCCTCATTTAGTTTTCCCCTTTTCTTCTTTCTTTTTCTTTTGACTTATTTAAAGTCTCTCAGGTTCTTCCTCGATGGATCCCACCTCAACAGAGCTTCAAGCCAAAATTTCCCAATTAAGGAAGACCAGGAGTGGCAGCAAGCGTAACGTTGAGCTTGGCCCTGGCAGCGGGTCCACTCCCCTCACCAAAGCACCGAAGCTGAGCACGCCCAAGGCTCCTTCTGCTTCCACTCATCCTACATCTATCCAGTCTTCCTCTTCCTTTCTAGCTACAGGCAACCTTCCCTCTCGAGGTGTCTTGCCTATCTCTGCAAATGCTCTCAGGCAAGGTCAGACCCTCCCCTTCCTTTTCTGAGGTCGAAAACGCTTTGGAAATGACTGCCCGAGTTTTAAACTCTCTCAATCCTCTAGAGGAATCTCCCCTGCCCCTTTCTAGGGGCTCCAAAGTAGAGAAAGAAGAGCATCCTAAAGTGGAGAAGGGCAAAGGTTCATTTTTCGACAATGTCGAACTTGCTGCTAGGGTCATTTCTTCTGTTCTTCCCGACTCTAACATTCTGAGGGTCTCTTCCATGTCTCTCAAAGCATCTATAAGCACAGCTCTTCAAGGAGTAGCTACTGTGAGTCCTTGTACTCTTGGGCTCTCATTAATTCTTCTGTTGTATCTTCGGGCTAACCATTTTTTGCTTTTCTTTTTGTTCTCAGTCGGCTATCCATGTAAAGAGATTGATGAATAGGGTCCGTTCTTTGGAGAGCTTTGTCAAAGCTATGAAGGAATATGAGATTAAGGTCATTGAGTTGTCCTTCGACAATGATGACCTTCGAGCCCAGGTGCAGGACCTTCAAGAGAAAATGGAAGGACAAGTTTCTACCTTCAAGAGCTTACAGGCTACGAAGGATAAGGCTGAGGAAAGAGAGAAGAAAACTAGAGAGGAGCTGAGAACAGCCAGGGAGGAACTAAAACTTAAATCTGATGCTTAGGTCAAAGCCAGCCAGGAAGCCTTTATTGCTCAGAGCTCCCTTGAGAGCCTGAGAAAGGAGTACATCACCCTATCCAAAGTGAATGGTTCCCTTTGCAAAGAACTTGAAGAGATAAGAGCTGTTGCATCTGAGAAAGATGAAGCTATTGCTAAGCTGAGGGATGACATTACTTCCAATTGGGCTTCCGAGTGGCTTGCCTTTCAAGACAAAGCTGAAGAGACCTATCTCGAACTGAATTTCAATTTTGACGTCCCTATAGAGAAAGAGATTGAGGTAGTTGACTCTGAGGCTTGCTTCATGCCCCCTCCCGCTATTGATACTTCTTTGGTCATTCATGAGGTTGTCCCTTTCTCTGCTGATCTTGTCTCTAAAGCTCTGGCTCTGAATTTGCCATCAGTTGAGATCGAGGCTCCTGCTTCAGGGATTGTGGCTACTTTGTCTGCTGAGCTTCCAGCCCCTTCTCTCCCAGAGACTTCGACAGTTGGTTTGCCAGATACTTCACCTGCTGAGCTTTCAGGAGCATCAGCTGCCGATCTTTCAAGTCCTTTTTCTGTTCCTACAGCTGGAGCTTCCACTACTGAACTGCGGAACCCTTTACTCACTCCTTCTTCAGAAACTTAGGATATGTATTTTTTGTAACCCTGAGTTTGAATTATAACTTTTGTAACTTCTGTTGGTGACTCTGAGCTTGCATTCTGAACTGTAGCTTCTGTAACTTCTGTTTTGAAATGCACATCTGA